CCGATCTCAGCTAAGTGAGCTGGAGAGAGAAAGGTGCTGAATATAAGAAAGTGAGGTGTGTGTGCACACACACATGCATGTAAGCAAGAGAGAGTAAGAATGAGAATGAAACAATCCCATTTTAAACACCAGCCCTGGACATCCCACTGAAAATGCAACAAAACTGTTCATGTGACAAACCCAATGGGATATTTGTGACTGGTGTTTAAAATGGGACTGTTCCAACAGAAAAAGGACATAGAGTCACCCTAATCATACTATCCCTAGAAGGCACAGGGATGATACTGAACCATGTAATGCAAACCTACCATGTCTGGACTTCTCATGCAATCCCAGCCAGAGAATAAACTTTTGACATGTGATATCCAGATTTATGAAGCCCCTTTCAGCAGTGATCTTAAAAAGGAACAATCTGGTCCACAAATATGGACCCAGCTGCAAAACAAAATCATAACCTTCAACATCAGGAATTCAGAGGCACCAATGTACAATGACATTTCTGAAAGTAAATTGTAATCTTGAGAAATATTGCTAATCAATTAAGTGGGACAGGTCCTCCTATATTTTGGCATTTGCAATGCACATTTCTGTAAGCCTGTGACTATCATCTAATAAAGTAACTCACAACGTTATCAAAATAAATTTATTGTTTATTCATGTCAAGGAACACAGAAAGCAGAGAAAAGGATTCAGAATACAGCTGATTCAGAAATCTTTTGCTCAGTCTCCTGTCAGAAAATGATGTTTCAGCACATTTGAAGGTCTGTACAGTGGATCAATTTCAACACAAAATTGTTGTTAAAAGTGATGGAAAAACATTTTATAGTGTCATCAACCTTGTGATTATAAAGAAGGTTCTTTATGGCATAAAAATGGTTACTAGCCCCATCATGTCTATGATTCTTCAAGATGTTCTTGCCAATGTGTATCATGAGCGTGTGAGCTGAATAATTGTGAGTAATTGTGTGTACTGGACTTAAGTGTTTGCCACAATACTCTTTGTGCACTTATGTAATGGCATAAAGGCCAGCACAGCTAAGAGTCACCTTCGGTTCTTCCACAGCTTAGGTCTTTTTTTAATAGTTGAGGCCCCCAAAAACAAGGATGGTAGGCAGGTTACGGGACCTACATTGACTTCAGTTTCCAAAGAACCATGTTTACCTCTAGGATAAATGATCCCTTGTTGCTCATTTCCATTTTTCTCTGGAGAAGAGTTTTAAACCATTTGCTAGCTTCTGGCATTGTGAGGTTAAACCCATTGAGTCAGGTACAGAGGCATTTCTTGGTTAACACCTCTACCCCAATCATTTAATGATCCTTTGTTTTCTTTCTGAGGTTTCTTATCTCTTCCATTACTTTGTTTCCCACTGTTTGCTTTAGGCAAGGCAAACAGAATAAAATCAAGCAGGTAAACACATAAGATTCATGCCAGTAGTACAGAATTTTCCCTTGTTCACCACTGATCAAGGTGCATCTCTGTGGTGATTTTATTTATTGCACAATTCACCAATTAACTGTCTAATAATCACTCTGCACCTGTGGTGGTCTAAATTAATTGCACAATTCACCAATTCATTATGGGATAATCGCTCTGCACCTGTGGCCATCTACATTTATTGCACAAGTCACCAATTGCATTTATTCACCAATTGTGACAGGCACTCTGCACCTGGGGCCATCTACATTTATCACACAAGTCACCAATTACACTTACCAATCGCATGATAGTCACTCTGCACCTGGGACCCGTCTCCTTTCATTGCGCACTTGACCAATTCTTTGTGCAATAGCCACTGTGTCCCCATGCCCAGGCTACCTTCATTGTGCCAGTCAGTACTGCCAACTCTCAGGATTTTTGGTGTTGTTCTTAAAGTCTGTGCTTCAGGAATGTGAAAAAACTTAGCTTATGTATATGTGTGTATGTGTATATATCTATGTGTGTAAAAGCTACGTTGTTCACATTCCCAAAGCGTAGACTTTAAAAGGAAGTCCAAACGTCAGGACCACCAGCAGCCCTGCGCCCTACCACTTCTCCCTGAGGGAGGCGCACAGAGCAGGTCAGAGCCCGCAAGCTTTAGGACGCATGCGCACGGCTCCCGCTGCCCCGGCAGCTGGGGGCGGGGCGAGGCGAGTGACATCACTGCCCGGCGTAAACAGTTCGGCGAGAGCTTGGTAACGGCGTCGAGGCGGCAGCAACGGTTGCTGGCTCCGCCCGCCAAGTGCGCGGTCCGGCGGCGGTTGGGGGCGCTCCTCATCCGCGGGCTGTACCCCGGCAGTGGCCGCTGGCGGAGCCGCCCGCGCGGGGGCTCGGGCGGAAGATGGCGACCCCGGGGATGAGCCGGCAGCAGCAGCAGTACGGCGGTGGCGGGCGAGCGGCGCCGGGCCCCGCGCAGCCGGACTGCGGCCCCGAGCTGCACCTCAAGATGAGCAAGAAGATCGCGCAGCTCACCAAGGTAAGCGCCCGGCGCCGCCCTCGGGCCCGGCCTTTCAGCTGCAGGTCACCCCTGCCCCGGGGGCCTCCTGGCGCCGGGATTTGGGGGCTCCTGGCGCCGGGATTTGGGGGCTCCTGGACCTCTGAGCCCCTGGGCTGCCCCCGCACCCACACCTGCAAGTGGTTCGAGCAGGGGCCACATGTAGAGGGTGCAAAAAGGTGCTTGACGCTGCAAGGTTTGGGGCACAAACACCCTTCTTCGGGCATAGGGAGAGTCTGAACGGCTCTGAAAGACAAGTAAAGAGTTGCTCCGTGCCTGGAGAAAGGTGTTTGTGCCCAAAAGCGTGCAGAGAACCAGTTCCCCCAACTGTTTGGTTGGTCTGACAGAAGAGATCCCGTCTCCCCAAAGAACCACTTGAAGGGGTTGGCAGGTGCTGAGCTCCAGGAGCCCCTGAATCCCGGTGTGACAAGGCTGCAGGGCAGATGTGGTCTTCTCTATTAGACCAGGGGTTTTCAACCTCTTTTGCTTGGTGTACGAGCAGTGAGTCCCCTGGCAGCCAGTCAAGCCAAACTGGAAGTGCCAGTGGCTTCTCCGTGTGCTGCTGCCATGTACCCTCAGGGGTATGCATGCCCGGGATGACAACACCTGCATTAGACCGGCTAAATAGTTAGGGAAAATAGTTTTCTGCACCCTTCTCCAGGCATAGACTGACTCTTTACTTGTCTTTGAGAGCCGTTCAGACTTTCTCTATACCTGAAAGAAGGGTGTTTGTGCCCAAAAGCTTGCAAAGAACCATTTTTCCCACTCTTTAGTTGGTCTAATAAAAGAGATCTCATCTACCCAAAGAAACCTTGTTTGTCTGTGTCCTTAGACCAACACAGCTACAACAAATAACCCTTCAAGTGGCTTGAAACGCTCCTTATGCAGCTTGATGTGATGCCCCTGCAGGGCAGGGTGGTTTTTGCTCCGTGTCACCCGGCTCTGGTTCTCTTGCAGTGCGGCCACTCCCTGCAGCCACTCCCTGCTGATGTATTGCCCAAAGCTGAAGTTCTGCAGGATCTTTTGGAGCCTGTCCTGGCTGCCCTGCCCACCAGTCCTGCCCCTGCTCACCAGGCCTCTAGTGGGAAATCACAGCTGTACAGGTGGGGGAGGGGCAATCAGGGAAGGTTTCTAGACTAAGGGTGTGGCTGCTTCAAGCTCACACTAACACTGATTGACACTAGTGTGGCTCATTGCATAAGGTGTAATGGCGGGGGGTCTCAGCTTTGTTAGCCTCGAGGCATCATAGGGGGGCTGGAGCATCCCTTGGACAAGGCCAGCTCTTTGCTGTTGTGTTCTCTTCCCTTTTTCTGACTGTAGAAAAAGGATAGAACCATTTGTCCATTGCCTTAGGAAGCCCCCTGCCTGGGATTGCTTCTGGAAATCCTGGGGTCTGTCTGAGGAGCTGTTCATGCCAACCCAGCAGCACTAGACGTGCTTTGCAGCACCCTGGAAAGGACCTTGAGGCACCTGGGTTGAGAACTGCTGGCCTATGTGTCCATTTTTACATGCAGAAGCATCTAGGAAATCGGTGAGAGACTGCAGGTCCCGTAAAATCTGTACAGGCTTGAGTTTTCATTTGAGCCTTTCATTTGCTCTGCCCAGCAACTTCAGCTGTCATGTAACATAAGAACAGAAGAGCTGCCATTTACTGGGTTAGACCATAAGTCGTCCTTGCCTACTATTTTGGGCACTGTCTGGTGTGTTCTGGTTGCGTGTCCCCCTTGGCATGCTAATTAAACTTCTGGCCATCCATCCCTATTATGCCTTTTTGTTGTCCCAAGAAATAAGTTGTCTGCCTAATGACCTCCCTCTCAAGGGAGGCTTATAACATTTCCTTGTGGGCATTGATCCAAGGTACCTAGGCCTGGGCACTGTTTCCATGTGCTCTGCTCTGTGTTCCCTGCCTTCAGCACACTCTTTTTTTAACCTATGACCATCACTCCCATCCCTCCTTTGATTAATTGGGACAGCAAAGGGGCAGTTGAGACATATCCAGTAGCCCCCACTATTAACAGTGGGGGCTAACTGTTGCTTTGTGGGCCAAAGGCCAGGTTCTCCAGTATGTATAAATTAGGGCCGGACACTGTCTGGTACACTTGTTACAAATGTGTGACCCTCACTCCTGTCCCTGTTTTTGTTTTTCTGTTGTCCGGAGTAGTCAATGATATGCCCTTAGTGGTCCCCACCACCAAAGGAGGCTTATACCTCTACTTTGTCGGCTTCAGCCTGCCATCCTGAATGGCATATCGAAAGGCCTGGGCACTGTCTGTTGTGCTCTGCTCATTGTTCCCCCTTGGTGTACTCGGTTTTAACTTTGACTTTCATTCCCATAACTGTTTTGTCTTTTATTTGTCGCACAAATTCAGTTGACATGCATCCTGTAGCCCCCTCTAATGTGGTGGGATGTGGGGGTAACTCTTGCTCTGTGGGCCTAGGGCCTGTGTCCCCAGTGTGTGCCAAATAGGCCTGTGTTACACAGGGCCAGAGAGTGAATGCTGAAAGGGAGAGTGAACTGATATAACTGAGGTGTTTTTGTTTTCTCCCACCCCAGAATGTCTATTGATTAAACTGTCATTTGACTTTTTAGTAAATGAAGCCCTTAGTGTTTCAGAATTAATGAAATAATACTAGACTGGAAATAACATTCTACTGATCTTTTCTTGCTGATTTAACAGTATTTGTGATGTGATCCCCAGCAGGTTCGTTAGAGGAGGGTATTGTGCATGCATTGACCCAGCAATTAACATAATAAAAAAGTTGTTTAGAAGGTGGGTATGACCTAAGTTTAGTAGACCGTGTTACAGGTTTTTTCTGGTTATCCTTTGTACTAATGTGCATTCAGTATTTTTGTGTGCTTTCAAAATTTTTGGAGTGTTTGAACAGCTCTATGGGGAAAATTATAGCTAGTGCTTTGGAAAGAAAATAAGTAAAGAGGCTTTGGTTCAGGCTTCTAGTGTGTTAAAATCTAAAAAAGGAACTTGTAAAAGAAAGATCTGTTTGTGATAAGGCAGTGTTGGCCTCAAACGTGGTGAAAGGAAGATGCTTCATCTGAGGTTAGCATGAAAAGGCCAGGCACTGTTGGCAGTAGTTCAAAATCCAGGACATGCCAAACAGTCTTTTTATTTGGGTGTAGATGGAAGTAAAGTGAGGATCAATTAATATTGTCACAGATTGTGCTACTTCTATTGGAAAAACAGTTACTTTAACTATTGTTTGTTTGTTTTTTGTTTGCTTGTTTGTTTGGTTTCCTGACTACACATTGATTTCAGCTTGGAATATAAACAGATCCTGTCTAAGGAAATTATTTTAATTCTTGATAAAATAACAGCTTGACAAGTTTTTCAGCTCCATGATTAAACACATTTCCTATGCATGCAACTAAACTTAACTTATGACTAAAAAGTATATGAATTGAAATTTTTCTAGTGTTCTCACTTTTAGTTACCATGTGTAAAGAGCATGTTGGTGACATTAGTCAGCATTAAAAGCCCTTGGAAGTGTGGCATTTGAAGGCAAACATCAGCAAGGTGTAATCCCCATTTAAGTATTTTTTCCAAGATTTTTCTCAGTAAGTAATGGGGTTACTTGGAAAGGAGCTAGGGGGTATGTGTGGGCAGGTAGGCAGGGATGGAGCATCACCACCCCATGCCACTGCCTCCCAGGAGCAGGGGTGAGGGCAACAGCTCCCCTATGTGTGCCACATGGGCACTGCCTGGCGAGCCAGACATGGGGGAGGGGGGGCTGGAGGATCTGGCACATGGTGGCTGATGCTGCCATCCACTATCCTGTACTGCTGCCATGTGTGCAAGCCCCCTCCTCCACATCTGGCTGTTGTCCTCCGCACACACACACACACACTCTGTCAGAAGTGTACCCAGAAGGGGTACACTCCTTAAAAAAGGTTGAAAACCCCTGCACTAAGTTATGGTTGACCTCAGAAATATGTTCCATTTTTGTCATAAAACCAGACCCCCATGCTCATGAGTTTCCTTTTATTGGATGTTCTATAGTAATAAAATTATTTCTTTTCACTCTGTGTGATGGGATTTTACAAATGTAAAAAACTTTTACATTTTTGCATGTAAAATTCTTCTGGCTATAGAAGCTAATTCTATCACTTGTTTGTTTTTGATGCTGCAAGTACTAGGACTTTTGTCCAAAAGACTAATGGGAGTTCTAAGCAGTTAGCTTGGAAACTTAAACCTTCTAGTGAACTGAATGGGGAGTGAGTTCCAGCAATGGACCATTCACAGAAAAATGCACTATTCCCAGTCCCTTGTCACTGCAGTGAGGGCTCCGGGGTTGAGCTTTCCTGCTGACATGGCTTTTGCATTATGTCAAAGGCAGAGATGCTTTCTTATGTACCTTAGTCACAAGCCGTTTAGGTCAGACACGTTTGATTGTTTGACAACTAGCTTCTGGATGGAATCTGGAGTATGGAATATTTAGGTTAAATACTTCCTTCAAACAACTAACTATTCCTGAACAGTCATGAACGTTTTTCAACCACTTGAAGTGCTGAAGGTTCTCATGGCATACACCCATGTATACAGTGAACTATTTTCTTTATGTAGATTAAAAAACATGCTGAAATATGTTAAAGTTTGCACCTAAGGATCATGAGACTATATAGAAATTAAAAAATGAAGGTCCAAGTACTTTTAAAATCAACCCAAAATCGGAGAGAAAATCAGCTTAAGCTAACCTTGTAGTCTTCTAGCTCTCCTTCAAGAGCTAGCATTGTGAGTCTTAAATTACTGGAAGCCAACAGCAAATTTGCTTCTGATAAGCTGAAAAAAAACTAGTGAATTTAGCTCTGAGAGAAAGCAAAGCAATGATTTTACTATTGCTTTGGTATTTTAGCATGAAATTTGTTGGATACTCGCATGCAGTCACATAATCACAACTTCTTTTTTGTTGGCATGCTTTCGATTTTTCTGTTGGTGCTATTTTATCCTCAACCTGGTACACAGATTTTT